CCGGTCGGGACCTCTCTGCCTGGCTGGCCTCCCTGCCTCATGGCCGTACCCTGCTATCCTGCACCGATGACGACCTACTCGTCTACCTGGAGGCGCACTGGCTCCCCAACCGCCGTGTGGACGACCCGAGCCCCAACACCGTCAACAATCATCTGGGTCTACTCTCCGGACTGTTTAACCGCTTAGGCCGTGGCAGCACTTACGACCGTGAAACCGGCATCGGCAACCCCTGCTGCTCCAGCGCCTTGTCCTCCTACAAGACTGGCTATAGTCGTCTCGCCGCCGACCGTGGCTATGAGGAGCAAGCCGCCGTACCACTCAGCCCTGGCGACTTCACCACCCTCATGGACCACCTCTGGTCCGGATTTCAGGCATCCACCACCTCCCTGACCCGGCTGCTGCTACTACGCGACCTGTTGTGCTGCCAATTTATGTGGCACACCAGCTACCGCGGCCACGACACCGGCAAACTGCGGCTACGTGACTTCCGTGACCCGCGGGGTGGGGGTCCCTTCCGTGGGTTTCCCCTACCTCTGCCGGACCCGTTTGGTGCCTACCCCTCGCTTTCCTTACGGATCGAACAACTCGGGACCAAAACCTCCAAGGGGCGTCGAGCCCCCCCTTTGGAACTGCGCCCCGACCCTTCTCCCTCTCATATTGTTGTAAGAGGGCATAGGCAGCTGGGTAGGGTGTGGGGCCATCACTGTGGGTGGAGCTTCCACACCTACGTATTTTTTTGTGTGGTCCCCACCTTATGTGCTGTCCACCTTTCATGGCTAAATTTTCATGTCCCCATCCCTTTGCCCCCTTTTCATGTCCCCACCCCTAATAGGCCCTGCCACACCAGGGAGGAGGTGGAGTGCTGTCACTTCTCAAAGTTACAAAGAAACATATAAAGGGCAGCAGGCTAGAGCTCTCTCTAGATCTCTCATGGGATGTTGCAACACCAGCAGACTACACACTACTACACACAGGCCCTCTCCTCCATGTGAAGCAATGTCCTCGCAGCATCCTCCACTTCCTGCACTGTGCTGCCACCCATACTGGATCCACGATACCAGAAAGGAGGATGCTGGCCCCTGCTGCACAGGAGCCAGGCGGCTGTGTAGCCCACACTCCCATCCATGCCTCAGTGTGGCCATGCCAGTTAAATTCAGCATGTCCTCCTAAGCAGAACTTCATTAAACGCTGATATCTGTTAACTGCTACTAACTGTCTGCTAACTGTCTATTATCTTCCTCCCAACTGCCTACCACAATTTGCTTTCAACTGTTGGCCAACTGTTTTGCCAACTAACTGTCTCTGATCTGTCCGCCAACTGCCTTTGAACTGTGTACTGACTTGACTATTTGCCAACTGCCAACCCTACATTTTACTAGTGTCCTGACGACCAGCAATGTGTGTGCCTGCTAACTTCCTTTTTACTTAGTAAGTGTCCATAAAGTGTCTGCCGCCACATCATCTGCCTGATTGCCTGCTAACTCCTTATTAACTACCTTCCAACTGTCTCATAACTGACTAACGACTAACAAACAACTGTACTATCAACTCTGTGTTTTAAAACTGACTGTCCACCTGTCATGTCAGCAACTGCCTGCCACCTGTCTGCCCACTGCCTGCTCAACTGTGTGCCAACTGTCTGCCAACGGTTATGGGGTCAACTGTCTGCCAAACGCCTACCAACCGTCTGCTAACTGTCCACCAACTGTCCTAATCACTGTGTTCCAACAGTTGTGTGCCATCTGTCTTCCCACTGTCTACCTATGTACCTACATCCATCTTTTACATCTACCTATCTAACTATCTATGCCTACCTATGGATGGGTAGTTGCAGACAGACAGACAGACAGACAGACAGACAGACAGACAGACAGAAATAAATAAATAAATGGATAAACAAATGGATAAACAAATGAATAAATAAATGATTAAATAAATAAACGAATAAATAAATAAAAACCTAAGACAGACAGACAGACAGACGTCCTTGGTGGAGTCCCATGGTGGAGTACTCCTCAGGCTACATCAACGCGTGTGGCACCAGCTCGAGTTTTTCTCTCTCCGTCTCTTCTCTCTCTTCTCTCTTTCTGTCTGTGCGTGTGTCTGTGTGTGTAAACACTCATGTGTACACACACACACACCATGTACACACAAGCAGGCGATGTTGGGGTAACAAGAAAACACACAAACACACACACACACACACACAGGACTGTTGGGGCACATGGTAGTGTTGGGGTAACGTGAAACACACGCAACCACAGTCCTGATTGGGCACATGATGGGGTTGGGGTAACATGAAAACATGCACACACACAGCCACAGAACTATTCGGGTATATGCTGGTGTTGGGGTAACATACGACACAGAGACACACAGACAGACAGAGGCAGAGACAGAGAGACACACACTCACACACACACACACACACATACACACACACACACACACACACACACACACACACAGAATCACACAGAATCACACAGAGTCACACAGAGTCACACACAGTCACACAGAGGCACACACAGAGGCACACACAGAGGCACACACAGAGGCACACACAGAGGCACACACAGAGGCACACACAGAGGCACACACAGAGGCACACACAGAGGCACACATACACAAACAGAGACACACACTGTCAAACACACACAAAGACAGACACACACAGTCAAACACACACTAAGACAGACACACACACACACACACACAAAGACAGAGACACACACACACACATACACACAGACATACTCACACACATAAACCTGCCTGTCATGCATTATTCTTCTACATCATATCCTGTCAGCCAAACATCTCATTTCCGAATTGGTGGGTGCCCATCAAACAGATAGAGCAGCATCCGAGCAGCATCTCCTACTTCCTGCTCTGCTGCCGCTGAAATGTTGCTGCTGCTTCCGAAACGGAGGATGCTGCCCTGCTGCACCGGAGGCAGGCGGCTATAGCCCATGCTACCATCCCGTCCTTGATGACCAC